GCAAACGCCGGGTCTTTCACGGCACAGGCATTATTTTTTAGCATTTGTTGATGACTCAACACTTTTACTCGAGCAGGCAGAGCAGCTGCCACATGCTCTCAGTATTTTTAAATCCTTTGGGGCTTTATTGGGTTTGCATGTTCAACCAGACAAGAGCAAAATCATATTTTTGATTCGGTCAGTGCTTATTAAAAGCTAAATAGGCATCGATGTTATACCGCCAGGCGATGCAACCCAATACCTAGGCTTTGAAACCGGGACGGGAGAATGAGTGAATAAGAATTGGGCGGTGAGGATCCAGAAGATTCAACGTCGCCTACTCACGGCATTACAGGTAGCGACAAGTGTGGCGAATCGAGTTCTTATCCTCAACGCTATCGTACTCTCCTCATTGTTTTTTACAGCAAGTGTTTTCGACACATTCTAATGGGCGATGACATAACTACCCATTTACACAAGCAATTTTTATGGTTGCACGGTACGACGACGAATAAAAGTCGGCACAAAGTCAACTTGAATTTGCTCGTGACACCAACAAAAGCTGGGGGCATCGGGCTTTTCGATGTATCAGTCGCCGTCAAGACCTTACGAGCGAAGTACCTTTTTATTTGGCTAACTCAACGTCCTGGCAGTCATTCCACGGCATGGCGTCATTGGGCATACCGTGGACTGTCACACGCAACAGAGATAGCGTTTTTTTTCTCCAATGATGGGGGGACGCCTACGACCTCCTCACACGACTCGAATTCCCGGGCGAAAATTACAGCGGACGCTAGGAGAATGGCTCGCCCAAACACCGGAACAGGTGGAACGAGTCACATCGCATGTTGTTGCACAATCAGAGCACTTCCTGGAAGCGCAGCCAGCTGGTGGGAGGAAAAAGAATTTGTCGTATCCTAATCCTCTCCATTTACAACACGCGGGCTCAGTGCGGGTATTTTTTTCCAAAGGAGATTAGGCGGTTCTGGTCCACTGGTAAGCGAACCCCTGGATTCGGGATCCGCTCGGCCACATGTTAACCAGACCTGCATACGACAGAATCGAAGTCTGTACCCTGGCAAGACTCAGCATCTCACGAACTGTACCTGCGGAATGTGTCATCACGATACCCAGACCTCCTCACCATCCCCGACCCCATACGATGGCAAATTACGGCGGTGGGCTACAGCTCTTCTTCTTTCTTTGCCAGACATACATTTTGAAACAAGCCTGGGAACGAATCCACCACTGCAACCCCGACATGCACCAGCGGGTCTTGCGCCATACATCTAGAGTTACCAGAGCGGTGAAGTTATCGTGAGCAAACCACTGGGCAGTGTGCACATACTAACACAGAAAATTATTTGCTCCAGCAGGAAGATGACATACATTGAAATGTATGGGACGCTTCCGGTACTCGAGGTGTACTCCACGGCAGACCAGCATCCAGTCCGACTCGAATTACAGGCTAGTGGCTATGTCTTTGAGTCGCACCTCCAGCTGCACAGATTTCTGTGGTCGGTCTCTGACTTGACGCCAAACAAATCCTTCTCTGCTGCGCTGTAACAGCAAGCTTTCGGATTTCACAAAAATAAGGCTTGGATATACGTTTGGGAATATTTCTGGACCATTTGGAAGCACGTGCAACCACGGATGCATGGCAACGTGCAGTGCTCACCCATACACCTCGGCAAGCATCATATCATAGTAATGGTCTGACTGATTTCCAAGTATGAACTGGGTATTGGATAGCGACCAGGCAACTTAAATTCCACCATGCTAAGAGAGCCGAGAACAACGACTGTCGAAAGCGACCGGGCTGCCCGGGGGCAAGGAGAAAGCAGATCTTATATTATGGGAGTGCCCGTACGCTTATGCATTATGAGAAAAAAGTGGGACATTGGGCAGGTGAGCGGTATCAATACAGCGAACTCATCTCTTTATTAATGAGCGTTCTAGTCGACAAGTATACAACGTATCACCGCTCCGAACATCAAGTCTGAAGGACCGCTTTCAGGACGATCGGAAAGTGGCCGAACGAGTTCGGAAAAGAATGTGGCATGTTCTACTGACAATGTGTCACACAAAGCTGTGGACCTACAGGAAGTAATCCGTCTACAAGGCTGCAGTTACTGAACTATTCGCAACCACGCAAAGTTTTTGGGCATCTTGCGTCTGCCAGAAACGTGCAATAGCAACTCGAGAGCACCGAAAAGAGTCCTCTGCCATTATGGGCGCTTTGCTGTTTGCCTGCATCGAGTTGCTTCAAACGGGCTCCGGAAGGGTCATCAGGCCTGTCTGGGCACAGCCAGAGTCTACGTCCGAAAACACCAAATCTGAACTCAGGGCTCCGCATTTACCAGAGACCTTAAACATAGTTTAAACCGTGTTAATAGACCATCTGATCACAAAAAAATCCTTTCCATGTGCAACTTGCAATAATCGATGGAGAATAATAGGTCCACACCGCCCTGCAATACGTACACACCTAGTCAAACTAATTACGCGAAATAATGGCTCTGTACCGCGCAGGGGTAGGGCGGGATACCGCGTGATGAGAGCATTATATATTTTACCCAAAATATAGTTCGGAACGATTATATCTGCATACACGTGAGCGCCTCCATATGGGCGCGCTCATTTGACCTAAGAGTAATGTACCGGAGTGCCTCCGTTACATGATAGTTTACACAATGTCATATCAAGTACGAATGTTCCGTTAAGGCAAACATAATGTTCTCACAACCTTCGCTAGATAAGTAACAATGTGTTGATGAAGCAATACACTGCTGATTGATCAATCGATATTAACGGTATCAGCCTATAAAGCCGAGCCACGACAGAAGGACGCAATGAGTGGTGAGCAGATAGTTTCAATGCTTGTTTGTGTTAACGTATAGTTAAATGAAGACTAGATAGAATTAACGACAGGAGATAAACTAAACTAAATACAATTCTGCTTTATTCCTTTATTCACATTATAACCTTCTTCTGCATGACGCGTGCTCGTGAGGTTTCGAAACACCACCTAACTATGTGTTCAGTGTAAGTAGCTTCTATGACAGTGCAAGCAAATAATTCCCTGCTACAGGATCAAAGAATGAGAATAATATCAAAACTGAAAACTCCGCTATGTGATCAATGCTACCTGCTATAACAACTGAAGAAGGTAAATGCCTACTCCACCAAATCCTAATCGGTGGCGGTGATGACGTAATTATTCAAGCACAACTGTTTTTAAACGTGGTGGAAATAGAGTTGCGATGATTGAACACTTGCATCAGCATTTATGCAGTATAGTTACAGCGAGTAGCGGCGTCTTGGGGCATGGTCTTGAAAAAATATGTAAGCTATGCGATCGCTCGGAACCGATCTTGACGTTCGGTGGAGTAGTACATCCTCGTGAGAGGCTTTTAAGCAAGCGGTTTACTATAAAAAGACTCATCTTGACCAGATATTGTAGCTGCAATCTTCCTGTAGGATAATAACGTCCATCGGGTCGTCGCTGGGCGGGAAATAAATCTTGTCTACAAGCATCTACTATGCCTCGATACATGCCTTGGCAAAATGGTCAAAGACTTACAACAAATTGTAAACTTGACACCGTATTCATAAAAAAGGATGATGCTTTCATTTCCTGCTCTCTTGATTTCCAAAATGTACTACTCTGTCCCACTTGTTTATGGATCATCACGCGTTTTACTCGCAATTTTGACATAACCTGTAATTTTAGGCGAAATTACCTCAGCGTAAAAAGCTCATTCCGAAGCATTTAGCGCAATTAGGAGCCCATTTGAGTGCAGATAAGAAGATTCTACCTGATATTTGTCTGGTCGTTTCTCAAAGGTTTAATTTATGACGCAGTGAAGTCAATAGGTATTGTATTTTACTCAAACCAGAAGTTTCAGCCATCCAGAAAGCTACATGACAATACAATAAAAGTAATATACGAAAAATTGCATTATTGATGTAAATAGAAGTGAGGTTTTTATAATGATTTAGTGAAAATACGAAGAAGTTTTGAATAATGGATAGTATTAGCCAATGGGCAAAACGATCTCTTCTAAAGCCATTTTTATTCTTGCTCAAAGCTCGATGTAACGGGGCTATAACAACCCCTACTAACTTACACAAATCTATGCTTAGGAAGCCTGGACCCAAGTTTTAGGTATCAAGTACTTTTAACTCTGTTTACATTTTTGTCTTGTAAATCATCCTAAGTATAAATGGTTCCCTTGGACTCATGGGAACACCCAATCTACGTGCCTATATCTTACTGGCTAATAATGGGACCAAGCTCATTAAACCAGCTAAAATATACGACGTACTACTTCCGCTACCTCGGAAGTAGCTCCCCTACTTGAGTAACATGTAAACTAGATCGAAACTACTAAAGCAACGGGGTATCCCATTACATCAACCTTTTCTCAAAACAGCACTCACGAGACGTGAGTGCTCAACTGCAAGACACCAACGGTCACTCAAACCAGAATATGACCGAAGACGCGAATACCAACGATACAGCAGTCCCGCGCACAATCTGCGGGAGTTCAGGATACTGCGTGATGGACCAGCACTTGATCCCTTGGGCGCTGTACGACCTGTCCAGAGAGCAAGCTCCGGACTCTCTTAAAATGATGCAGGATTACTTCCGCCGCTTCCGCAGGTTGCGCGGGAAGTGTCTTAAAGGTATCTCGTATGAATTACCGCAGCGTTCTTGGTGCGCGTTCGTCCGGCGATGGTACCGGATGCTTGAAGATGAAAGGATCTTTCAACAGTGGCTTGCCAATAGTGAAGACATTCACGCCTATCATTCTATCGGCGTGCTGCTCGAGAAGATATGCGAGAACGCGTGGAACACAGACCGACTCTGCTACGTCTATGTGCACGAATCTTGTTACCCTTGTGACTAGATGCCTCGTCCAACTCGCGCACTTGGTTACAGCATGTCGCTGAGAATCCACTCAGAGAATTTGAACAGCTCTAGATTGGAAGGTATGAGCGCAGCTGGGAGCGCGCAACTAGGCATTCATGTCCGCATGATCTGGATCGTTCGCGTAAGCCACGACGAATTCATCGAAATGGCATAACTCGGGTGTGACTCGAGTAAAGTTCAATGACACACACGTCGCACACCGATCGTCCTCATCGTCGTCGTCAGTAGACTGACGACTCAATGCCATCCGAGGGTCGTAATCCGGGTATCGTGACAGCGCGTCAGCAAGAATGTTGGTCTTTCCTGGCTTGTAGTGCACGACGAAGTTGTACTTGGAGAAGAAATCAAGCCATCTTGCCATTCGCTGAGACAGGTGTGGCATTTGCATCGCTGTGCGCAGCTATGCATGATCAGCATACAGGGCGAACGTGCGTTCGCCCAGTAGGTGTTCTCGAAACTTAATTAGTGCATAGCGCATCGCTAGCAGTTCCTTGTCGTGGATCGGATAGTCCATCTCCGCCGGCCCCATCTGTCGCGACTGGTAATTTACGACTCTTTCACGGCCCTCATGATTAATCTGCATGAGAGCGAAACCAATAGCATAATCACTTGCATCGCACACAAAGTAATACGGCTTGGAGTCGTCCGAGATAACCAGTACTGGCGCTGACGCCATATTCTTCTTCACTGCGATGAACGCCGCGTGATACTCAGGACGCCACGACCACGTGGCGATTTTCTTCAACAGTATAGACTGAGGTTTTATAGAACCGGCGTAATCCTTGGTTTACTTATGCAAGTAGTCGGCCAGACCGATCCATTTACGAAGCTCCGTAGGGCTCTTGGGTTTTGGACAAGAGTAGATGGACGACACCTTCTCTGGATCGGCTCTAACCTAATTTGCTCACATAGCAGCTCAGCACCGGAATCTCTGATGCACAGAATACGCACTTCTTTGAATTTGCATACAGCTTGCTGTCTCGCGTGGACATCACTGAGGTTATCCTCAGCGCGACTGTGGACAAAAATGCCATCGAAGTAGCTTGGAGCAAAGTCTCGAAGCGGTCTCAACACTTGAGATACCATGCGATTGAAAGCGGCTGGTGCGTCTTCAATCCTTGTGACATCACCACCCATAACTAACCACTTGGCGTGTACACCGCTGTGAGTGGTACGTCGCTTTGTCGCATCAGAATCAGGTAGAAGCCATCGGTCAGGTCGATGGCGCGGAGGATGACACTTCCCGACATGACATTCGATACCATGTCTTTCCTGGGGATGAGCGTTTGCACGGGGATTGTAGCATCGTTTCGCTTATTAAACGAAGGCAATATCCGCCATCCTTCCGTAGCATTATTCACAGAGAACGTCGGGCTCGAGTGTGGTGAGATGCTTTCACGCACGTGGTCCGCTTTACGGCGACCTTAAAAAAAGCATGGATGACCTCGACCTGGTCTCGAGGCAACGGCCACTGCCGGGTCACACAACACTGTGTTTCTGGCACGAGATCAATCTATTGCCGCAAGCCATGATCGGCAGGAATTAAGACGACATCTTGTCCGGGAAGATGTCTGCGTACTCTCGAGCAATCTCGTAGACAGATTTACCGGACTGACGCAAAGCCTCCCATGACTGCAATAAAATTTTATCATCACGCGCTGACTATGGTGCAGCGCTTCGAGGGCGCGTCAAGTGCTCCTTGTTTAGCTCAGGTTTCACCTCGTTAATAACCAGGCAAACATGTTCCACCATACCTCCCATTAGGTCACGTAGGAAATGCTTCCAGGAGATCCCTGGAAGCCTCGTGATCGAAGACGCGTCGCGAGGTGGACTCGCGACTTTAATGAATTGGCGCCTTTGCGGACTCCCGTCCACGTACGCGACAGCGTGGACGCATTTGAACACTGTATTATCGATGCTTGCGTCCCCATCGTGCTTCGACTTCATGCTCGAAGCTGGCGATCCGCAGCTAGGTGACAATCCATCACCTTCCTCTAGACACTGGGTGTCCTCATCCAGGATCTCGAAATCGCGTGACGGAATTATATCATACTCGTCCGTCGAAGCTTGAAGCGGGAGCCCCTGCTCGACCGCTGTAACCCCGTGTGGGAGCCCCTGCTCTACCATAAATTGCCCATGTGGGAATACGGATTCAACTACAGTGGGTGATGATGGAAACACCTGTTCGACCATCATGTTCTGACGTGAGGGCTCCTGTCCGACGACGTCGCACTAGGCGACGAGCTCTCGATCATCCTCATCTTGGTTTGTGGTAGCCTCTGTTCAACCACAATAAATGCAGGTGGGAACTCCGGTTTGACCACTGATCTCTCGTGCGGGAACTCCTGTTTTACCTCGTCTTCCTCGTGCGAGAGCCACTGCTCGTCCGCTTCGTCCTTGTGCGGGATCCACTGCTCGTCCGCGTTATACTCTCGCTGTAAAGCGAGGAGACATCGTCGTTTGAGTTTATGAGAATATCACAAGCGGTACATAAAGGGCCGTCGCTCGCTCTGTGCACCGCCGGTGTCGTAGGATTACAATCCACGACTACGACGTTAAACCAATCACTTAGGGACACCAAGAGTTGGGAAAACACTTCGCTGACGTCGAAGTTGAGTCGATGTCTCACTGATCTTGCTAACCAATCAATCTGGGGCTTGTAACGTGCCAACCATGCTATGCCCAGGATGCAATCGAATGCATTATTAATCTCAATCACAAAATAATTGTCGCTGCTGCGAAAGCCGTCGAAACTGTACGGGAGCGACACTTCGCGCCGCGATACGCGGCATGGATCCTGTAACGGGGCACCCTGAAGCTTGTACTGGTGACAGTACAAGCTACTTATTCTGATGACAGAATAAGGCGGTGCCTCGTAACTTCACGTACACTCGTACGTGCAGAGGAAGACGGTTAGAAGAAGCGAGTACTTGGTTAAAGTAAAAAGTAGAACTGTATTTATAATAGTTAATGTCTGCAATAAATCACTATTTATCTTCATCTAACTATGTCTAAATACAAATGTGTAAATTGATTATCTGCTCACCACTCATTGAGTGCGTCTGTCGTGGCGCGTCTTCGTTGGTTGATTTAATGGCCTATATCAACCAATAAGGAACTACTCGTAAGTGCTACAGAATATTTGTCCTTATGACAATATTCTGAGAATACAACTCTTATAGTTATATTCTATTAACAATTTCTTATAAATTGTGATGTAACAATTCACCCCGTTACAGGACAACTGGTGCAGTTTTCGTAAGAGGTAAAAAAAATTGTAATGTAACGTCTCACCCCGTTACATCACCCCCCCTTAACCATCAGTCACTTTAGTGACTGATTGACTAAATGGATACTCGTCCCAAATCATTTGGGACAGGGATTGCACTTGTTGGTCCGAGTCCACTTTCCAACAATTCATTGCATGGATATCAAGTCCATGCGGTGCGCGAGCAAGGCCGCTGAGAGCGCGTCCGCACGTCTCTGTGCGGACGCCGAAGCAGAAACCACAGCAACTGATGTCTCATTGGTTGCTGAAGCGACTCAGCCTGTGTCACCTAATGATGCAGGCGCTGGTCATGAAGACACTCATGTCTTCACAGAGTACGAGCTCGGTGTCTCATACTCTCCCGATACGGAATACGGATCCGTATCGACGGCGATTGAATCTAAGCCGCCTGTTAAGCGTGGCATGGACGATGCTTTGCGTCGCAGCATCTTTGGTTCATCTGATGAATCAGATGAACCATCGCCGAAGCGAAGGCGCTCGAGGTCACGAGACTCGGGCGCTAATAGTGGTGTCGGTTCTCCTATTGACACCACTTCGCAACGAGGTGCCAGTACTTCTGTCGGCTCGTCGCAGGAAGAGCGGGACCGCAATGTGTTTCGTCTCGCTCCAGAAAAGAAGGCATGGATGCCTCCTAAATCCGTCATGGATCACTTGTCGGCGACGACGAGTGATCGTTATCGAACACGATTGTTCGATTCGTCAAGGATCCATCACCTTGACCCCAGTGCGAAAAACTATCGCGCTGAACATGAATTCTTCATCGATGCTTTCTTTAGACATCGATGGTACAGTGGGAATCACAAGCGTGATGGTCCCTCACTGCTTCAAGCGTGGAACGCCTACATCCATAACCTTGAGGATGTAGGTCGTGACGCTTGGAACGACAAACTTATCAAAGCTCGTGATAAGTTTGAAAAGCGAACCCCGACAGGTGCACGCTACAAGCTGCATCGTCTGTCAAGGGAGAAAGGATTACCCTGCCTCTCATGGGGAGACTCGTGCCCATGTTGTGTGAACAACTCTGCACGAGCACCTAAGGAGGCTTACCTCCTTACCAGTCCATGGTGGCGCGTACGTATCTCTACTGAGATGTACGAAGGGATTGACAACCTGAAATCCCTTTACGACCGTGCCGGGAAGACTTTCTCCGGCGGTCCTTCTGCGGCACAGGATGTGCCGCGTCGTACTGCTCAACCAGACCCAGTACGTCAATCATCAGTTGGGAGCGGGGCTCCCAAGTATCCCAGGACGGGGGATAGCCGCGCCACCGGACGAGATAACTCGTCTGACGTCTGTTCACGTCGCGGTGGTTCAACAGCTGCTCAACCAGATAGCGCTGGCCACCGCGAGAGTCCTCTAATGGAGGTGGAGGAGGAGGAAAGACGCTCTCCACACGATCATGGGGATCCGTGTGTTCCCGAGAGCTTCTTTGATCGCGTAACGCAAGGGTTACGCGGCGATCTCGAACATGAGCGGGACAGGCGTCTCCAAATGGCGGACACTGTCTCGAAGCATCGAGCTAAGTTTGCCTTTGCTCAGCTTGAGAACGAGAAAGCTCTGACATCTCTTCGTGACGAGCTAAGGGTAGCTCGTGGGATTGTTGATCGGTCTCGGGATGAGATAACTGCTCTTCAGACCCTTGTCGATGCCCACCATCGGGAGCACAAGGCTCTCTGCGAGATGCTTGAGCGCAAGGGCGTTCTTCATCGGAAGAAGCAGCGTACTGATGGTACGGCTTAAGCTGACCAACGTAAAACGTGGGATGCGTTCGCATCTTACGTGGCAACTCGATCGTGTATGCATTGCCTAGGTGGTGCAATACACGAAATGGGCCGATGTACTTGGGTAGTAGTTTACTGCTACCCAAGTTAGTCACTACATGATTTGGTAGATTAACCGTAGACAGTAGGACTAAGTCACCTTTATTAAATAAAAGAGTGTTTGCCCTTCCATTCTTGTCTGTGCTTTGCTTTTGCTTATCCACGCTTCGGCGATGGAATCTTGCACAAAACGGACTACCGTTTCATGAGCCAGTATGAACTCATCTGATGACTCGTTAGCTTCAGTGCGCTGTGAGTGCACTGCAGCAACATCAATCTTTTCTTCAGTGAGGGCTTCCAAACTCTCACTGGCATCATCTTCTTCGATATCGATGTAATCGATATCGGCATCAAACGCAATGACCTCTTCGTCAGAGCGTGATGAGCGTGAGCCAAATCGGTTTTTGCTCGCGCGATTTCCTCCTCCCCTTAAACCAGAGTTACACTCTAGCAAGGTGGGTACACTCGGATGGCGTAAGCCATTCACGTAAAACGGTGTATGTGTCGTGGACGCATGCACCGAGTTGTTATTGGCAAACTCTACCATGGGCAAGAACTCACTCCAACTCTTAAAGGAGTGTACGTATCCTCGAAGTATCTCTTCGAGGACACGATTGGCACGTTCCGTCTGACCATCTGACTCTGGATGATCAGATGTAGACATCTTCAAGCGCGTTCCGAGTGAGTTGAACACGGAGCGCCAGAAATCGGCAGTGGAGCGTGGATCTCTGCCTGATACGAGTTCGCGGGGCAACCCATAAAGTCGGAAGATGGTGTTGATATAGACACAAGCACAGCCACTTGCCGTGATTGACTCTGGTACAGCCACAAGGTGTACCATTTTGCTGAATCTGTCAACAAATACGAGAATACCCGTATTCCCGCGTGCGTCTTTGGGTAACCCGAAGACGAGATCCATTGAGATGGATTCCCAGCACTCTGCCGGAGCTGGTAGAGGCTGTAAAGGTGCACGCAGTGAAGGACTTGACTTCACTCGTTGACAGACTTCGCATGCGCGAACATACTTTCGCACGAACTGATGCTGGCGGGGCCAGTAAAAGTCTCGACTCACCGTGAGATATGTTTTCTCTCGGCCACGATATCCTCCTATAGGAGCATCGTGATACTCGAACATGATCCGCAAACGCAGATCAGTATCATCTGGAATGACAACACGTGGTGTGTCACCAGAAACGGCTGTATAGTACAGTAAACCGTTACGAGTAGTGTATCGATCTGATGCAGATCGATACGCAGACGACAATCGTTTCAACGATTCTCGAGATGGTTGGGAGAGATGTGACAACAACTTCACTATCTCACCATCTTGGGCGTATGCCCGCCTCACATCATCATACAACGTTGTAGATGGAACTGAGGACGTCATAACCGCAACAGTGACTGTCTCACTGTTGGGTTTCGCGACTGTTTCAAAGTCGGGACGACGTGAGAGTGCATCAGCGACGACATTAAGTCGTCCTGGTTTGTACTCGACCGTAAAGTTGTATTCTGCAAAGAATGACAACCACCGCGCCATTCGTTGTGAAAGGTGCGGGCTGTTCACTGCCGTGCGTAAGGACGCATGGTCAGTGTAAACAACGAAGGGTCTATCTCCTAATAGATAGACTCTGAACTTCGCGAGTGCATACTTCATGGCAAGGAGTTCCTTGTCATGCACTGGATAGTTCCGCTCAGCTGGTTGCAGCTGACGCGACTGATAGCAGACGACGCGTTCAACGCCTTCAAGGTCGTACTGCATTAATGCACAGCCGATTGCGAAATCGCTGGCATCACAGACCACATGAAATGGCCTGTCCTGATCGGCTATTGCTAGGACTGGGGATTGTATCAAGCTCTGCTTGATACCCTCAAAGGAGCGTTGACATTCAGCGTTCCATAACCACCTCTCGTTCTTTTTCAACAAACGAGAGAGGTGTACAGTCATCTCGGCGTAATTGCGTGAATACTTATGCAAATACGCCGCTAGCCCAAGGAATTTTCGAAGACCTTTGACATCGACCGGCACGGGCCAGTCGGTGATCGCCTTGATCTTTTCGGGATCAGGACGTACACCGTTCTTACCAACG